GTAAAAACAAGAAGATTTTAAAAATAACGGGTGCAAAATGCTCACCGATTATTTCTGCCCATATTGTCCTCACGTAGGACTCTTTCTACATCCCTCATGAGATTATGACAGTCTTAGACCCTATAGTAAGGGAGAAACTAAGCTTTCAATATTGCTTAATTAAAATAAAAGTAAAAAGCAGAAGACTTTAAAAAGAAGGGGTGCAAAATGCTCACCGGTGACCACTGCCCTTATTGTCCATGTGTGAGGCTCCTTCCACGTCCTCTAAAAGATAATCTTAGGCCCTATAGTGAAAGAGAAACTGAACTTTCAAAATTGTTATACATTTTACGTAGTTTGGATATGCAATTGCCTATTCTGCAGTGTACGATGTGTTGCGTACCATTTTGTAAACGAATTCCTTTGAATTAAATTTTTTAAACCATTTCTAACACTAGGAAAATTATTAAACAAATTGTTTACAAAAGTGAATTTCGACCACTGGAAGCAATGGCGGTAACAGTTTCGAGCTTACCGTAACTGATAAGTGGGAAGAACTAGTTAAAATAGAGGCAAAAAGAGGATTTTAAGAGTAAGGGTTGTAAAATGCTCACCAGTTGCTTCGATCCACATTTTCCTTGTGTGGAGCTCTCTCTATGTCCCTCATGTCATTTGTACAATTTTAGACCCTATGGTAAGGGAGAAACTAAGCTTTCAATATTGCTTAATTTAAATAAAAGTAAAAAACAGAAGACTTTAAAAATAAAGGGTGCAAAATGCTCACCGGCTACTAATGTCCATATTGCCCTTGCGTGGGGCTCTTTCTACGTCCCTCATGTGATTATGACAGTCTTAGACCCTATAATAAGGGAAAAACTGAGCGTTCAATATTGCTTAATTGAAATAAAAGTAAAAAACAGAAGACTTTAAAAAGAAGGGGTGCAAAATGCTCACCGGTTACTTCTGTCCTTATTGTCCTTGGGTGGGGCTCGTTCCACGTCCTCTAAAAGATAATCTTAGTCCCTATAGTGAAAGAGAAACTTAATTTTCAAAATTGTTATACATTTTACGTAGTTTGGATATGCAATTGCCTATGCTGCAGTGTATGATGTGTTGCCTATTATTTTATAAACAAATTTCTTTGAATTAAATTTTTTAAACAATTTCTAACACTGGGAAAATGATTAAACAAATTGTTCACAAAAATGAATTTCGACCAGTGAAAGTAAAGGCGCTAACAGTTTCGAGCTTTTACCATTTGCCAATTTTGAAAATTAAAATTCTCGTTTATTACAGGGGCTGAGATTATCACAATCTAATAACAGTTGTTGATGGATCCATATACAATAACTGTGCAGACAGAAGTAATCGGTTACCATTTTACACCTCAATAAAAATTTTAAAAATGAGAGATTTAGTTTACTTAGTTAATGTATTTGTGAAAACGGTGGTTTTTATATTTAAGCTACAATTTATAGACAACCCAACATACAGCGACACTAATAATAATGCACCTACAAAGAAAACCTTAATACTATTCGAGAACCACAAAATTGAAATAATTAATAATAATAAAATTTGGTTGNAATTAGCCATCCTTGTACTGACCGTTACGTTTCTCAATACATTCAATTTTAACATTTTCTAAATGTTATGAACCGCAATCCTGAAAAAAACAGTTAATTTGTTTTTCTACATACATGATAATTCATTACCGCCAATTTAATAAAGCCACACTACCACAGAAATGAATATACTGACTACCTACATACCCGCCATTGTAACGAAATGATTAGGGTAATCATTAGCATTCTTTGTATCTTACCTCAATACCCGTAGCTAAAATGATAAAACACAGTTAATGTATTTGTGAAAACGGTGGTTTTTATATTTAAGCTACAATTTATAGACAACCCAACATACAGCGACACTAATAATAATGCACCTACAAAGAAAACCTTAATACTATTCGAGAACCACAAAATTGAAATAATTAATAATAATAAAATTTGGTTGTGAATCCTTTCACATCTTTAATTATAACTTCTAAAAATGTGTATGTGTTTTTGATTAATTTTTATTCTAAACTATCGTTTAAATGCCGAAAAATAGGCCGCTCATGAAAATACACATTTCAAAATTTATTGTAAATTTCGGTGAAGGTGCCAGGGCAACTTAAGCAGAAGCTATAACTGAATTAAAATTATTGATTGTTATTGATTTCCTGTACACGCTATTTCCTGTCTCTGCTTTTTTTGTTATTGATGCCTATTAATAACTGTTACACTTTAACTTAATAAATCAATACGGAAGAAAGAACCACCTAACACATTTGTTTTTCAGTTTATTCTTAAATGTATCCACTCTAGTGCCTATTTTATATTTATAAACAACTTAAGTGTAATAATGAGACATCACTTTACATTCACATATTTATGTACATACAAGCCAATGTTCTATTTTAATTAATATGTAGAACTTAACAATTTTTTCTTCGAACACTACTATTCCAATATAATCGTTAATGTAATCTTATAACAGTGTGATCATAAAAGGTTTTAAGAGTGCAATTTTTCCTATTTTAAATAAAATAAAAACTACATTTATTTACGACTTATGACCTGTTAACTCCCACAAATTTCTCACTCTTAAAAGTGAGGGACCGCTGCTTCCTTGAACAGCAATTTTTTCTGTTGTAGTTGAAGAAGTACAGTTTGTTGTTTCAACAGCAGGCAAACTTTCAACCTTTCTATCAACGTTCGTGTCGTTCTGGTCCACTGTTTTATTCTGATTATGAGTAATCAAAATAATTTTTCCACAATTACTACTAGTAATAGCGCCTACTGACGGTTTGTGCGTTTCTGAACATGTGATGTTCGGAGATAACGAAGTTTGTTGTATAACGTTTGATGAAGTAAAAAAGGGTCTAGGAAGTAATAATTTTTGACCTGACGATGGCCTACTTATAGCGTTTATATGATTAAGAAGGATAGTATTAGAGGATGTAGTAGACACTTGCACGTGATTATGTGGAACCGATACAGCTTGTATATGTGGATTAGATGTAGGGACGACCACTTGGACTGTATTACTACACTGATTAATCAATTTACTCTGATTGTTACTAGAGGAAGAAATTTTCGGTATAAGAGGAATGGTAATTGTTTGATTGTTGCTGCTGTTTTTATTGTTGTTGTTAGGTAAAAAACTACTTCCGTTTAATAAAACAGTGGGTTGAATAAACGTTGTGGGAATCGTATCGGTTCGGACGTCGGGATTGCTTACAAGAATATTCTTAGGAATGTTATTTTCAGAAATAACCGACCAATCGGAAGGGCTAGCAGTAGTTACAGTTGCGGCAGCTGGGCTAATGAAACCGTCGTCCTCGATATGTATTACTTCGTGCACAGGTTGACGCTTTAATGCAGCGGTTGACAGATGGTGAGGCATTAATTCATTAATACTACACTTATTCCAGCTGAAATCAGATTTGTACGGTGCTTTTTCGATGGCCCTTTTAAAATCTATCTTTATTACGTCACTGAAATTTAATTCCACGGGAACCTTATGCATATTAAGTTCCAAAAACATATTTTCTACGCTCATTAGTTTATTCCCTAAAACTTTTATGCTGGAATCACTGGGTAAAAATACTTGAGTGGTTCTATTAGTTGATTTACTTATTGAATATTTTTTAAACAGGTCCTGAATTAATGATTCTTCCAATGATGCTAACGATTTACTGTTCATCGCCTGAGTGGCTTGGGGACATACTATGGTGTTTTGGGCGATTTTTATCTCAGGACGAATTATCGAGACCGACTCTACAGGTGGTACGACAGTAACATCTTCGATCAAGTCGTTGATTTTAGAACCGGCAATTTTTGTACTATTATTGGTGGTTGTTTCGTCGCCACTTTCGTCCGAAATACACACGACGTTTTCATTAGAACAACTAATCGTAGATGTAGAGCATACTTTTCTTTTCGACTTCTGCGTCGCCCTACCAATCGATCTTTCTATGTATTGTTCTAATTTAGAATCTTCACTATGTTTTTCGTTTGATAAATTATTAGCAAGAACACTTCTAAGCATGGGATTTTTCAAATCAACTCTATCATCTGGTTCGGGCATGAGTATTTCATTAGTATATGACGGTAAAATTTGGGCATTTGTTTGCAATTCGTCAAGAAATTCGCCTCCGCCAACTGGTACGTTCACTTCTTCAATTAGGGGAATTATTTCGGAGTTTTCATATTCATCGCTTTCCTCTTGTTCATCTTTTAAAGTTTCAAACGCTTTTCTATACTTATTAATCATTTTCGGGTCTTTATCGGCTCGAAGAAGCACAACATTGGGTAAATTTTTCGTTAAATTGACGAAACATGTTTCATTATTATGTTCAAGAAGAGCGTCGATGCTTTTAACTTTCGTTTTACAGAATTTACAATGTAAATGAATTCGCTGATGTTCAGTAAGTTCTTTTCTTGTATCGCAAACACGATTGCAAATATTACAAACAAATAAATTCACTTCTTTAAGAGTTTCGAACATTACCGACTTACTCGGTGACGTTTTATAAATAACATCGGCATCTATTTCTTCAGTAATTAAGCGTTTGTCGGATGGCGTCAAACCCAAAGATGAAGTGAAAATCTCTTTTTGCACTTCATTCGTCATTATTGGGGTTTTCCTCTTGGCAGTCGGCATTATTTCTGCATCGGAATCATTTGTCTCGTATGGATTCTTCTTTCGTTCCATTTTCCTTTTGTACGTTCGTATTCCTGAAGTTCTTTTTCTGGCCACATTATTCGACACAACTCTACATTCTGTTACAATATTACAGGAACTGAAACTTTTACTCTTGGCATCTTCTTTATTGACATTTTCAGCATTTTTACAAGGTACATTATTCAATTGATTTTTAGAGGCGTCATCTTCATTAGCAATTTCAAAATTTTCAGTTTTGGAAATCACTTTGCGTATGGTAATGTTCTTAAATTTTGAATAACATTCGTTAATGGCAACAAGTGGTAAATCGTACTGTAGATTACGGTGCTTTTGAAACCATTCGGTTACTTCATTTTTGTCAATTGTTATAACAGGGTTTATATGTGACTGAAATATTCGAGAGGGTAAAATAATATTCGGATATACGCTCATTAATTCTTCAACAGAAGGATGCTTTTTTATGAGACCAAATTTAGTATTTTGAGTAAATGACACATTATGATGATTTGTGTTTCCGATTTCACTAGAATCGCCACTACTTTTATTTTTGCAAGTGTCAAACGGAGAAAGGGGCGGAGACGGTGGAGGGGAATAGTGCTGTCCACATTGCTCCTGAAAGGGAATTATTATTTCAATAGTGAACTGGGATAAGATGCTTAAAACAAATTAAAAATAAATCAGCAAAGGGCTACCTTTAGTACTTTATCGTTGGCGACAGCCTTTGTTCGGTATTTATAAATCTTAATGGCCAGAATACAACATCGCCGACACACCAACTTGGAGACGACATCCGTTTCTCTAATCTGAAAAGGTGTATTTTCCAATTACTATTTGGAACAGAAACAATTAAATATACAAGTAATTGCACATGTGTATGGTACTAGCTGACTTTTTGTCTGGCATATTAATTATAATAAAAATAAGCATTTCTTATTCTTTTCCATGCTTTTCTTATGAATCACCAATGCATATTAATATTATGAGCACTCCTTCAATCAGAATTCTCATATTTATGTACTTGCAACTGTTAAAAATTTGGACACATTATATAATACACAGTAATAAAAAAAAACTCAGACTAGGAATCTACATACATAATTAATATCACTATACCTATAAAAATCCAAAAATCTTTAAAAGCTTACAACACAAAATATGTAAAGAACATAGAAAAACATGTTACCTACATACACAATTGTAATTGAACAGCAATTCTGAAAAACGTTAGGAACATTTTATAAACTACTTAATTGAAAACGAGCGCGACATTATAGTGAAACAAATAAAAGAATTTCAAATCGATTTTAAATAAAAAAATTAGCCATCCTTGTACTGACCGTTACGTTTCTCAATACATTCAATTTTAACATTTTCTAAATGTTATGAACCGCAATCCTGAAAAAAACAGTTAATTTGTTTTTCTACATACATGATAATTCATTACCGCCAATTTAATAAAGCCACACTACCACAGAAATGAATATACTGACTACCTACATACCCGCCATTGTAACGAAATGATTAGGGTAATCATTAGCATTCTTTGTATCTTACCTCAATACCCGTAGCTAAAATGATAAAACACCTTAGTTCACGAGAATTCTTTAAATTAGAATCGAAAATGTTGATTAAATCGACCGTAGACGAGCACAATCGACATTCGTTCATGATTCTCAAATAGATTAAAATAAAATAATAACCACTGCTCACAGACTCTCATCCAACCTCAAACTTTAAGAATAATAATGGACATGTAATAGAACAATACAATAGAACAGCAGTGCTGACAGTGCCAGCAACCATAGATAATGGATATACAAAGGGTAAGCAACTTAATCAGTGACACATTCCACAATATGAAATGGCGAGCATCAGCGACACCTAATTTTACACCACGCAAGTTTTCAAATTTTTAAATTACCAACATCGGCATTATCGGCATACTAGGCGACATACATTTTAGTGAAACGACAACAGATGATGCGACAGCGGTTGTAATTACCAGCGGAATTCCCCACCATTCCCCACTAGTTATAGCGTATACTGAGTAATAGTGAGTAGTTTCACAACTTCATATATTTTGAAACTTTTTGTGGGAAGTACTTTTACCTATCCTGAAAGTAAGTAATGTATTAAGTGCTTCAATCATGCTTTACAATAAGTAATTATTTTCTGAAATAGTGCTGGTTAGAAAGGAAAGAGGGTTTTCTGTCCAACACAGAAAAACCGTGCTGTACAGTCTACACCATTATGGGGTCAAATTAATTTGAAATGTTCTGCTTAGATTATAGAGTTCCTGCAAAAGTTAAAGGTCAAGATGCCGCTTTCCATTTTCTTGAAGTAACAGCGGTTCCAACGAAAGTGGCAGGTATTGTAATTTATTGTTGTTGTGAAACTTAAGTTCTAAAAAAAATGTTTTGTAGAACTTCTTCAGGTAGAGGAATGGAGGCAGACGCAATTGTCCCCATTAAAAGATGAAAAAGTACTGCATCCAGTGAAAATATATGGAAGAAAAAGAAGAACTGTTTCAATTGCAGGTAGTTATGCAGATAACAGTTTCAAATATCCAAAACAGATATAATTATTTGTTATAGAAAGTACCCTCACAATGGACAATACAGAAGCTAGTATTTCTTCAGTTTTTGAATCCTTAGCACCCCCTGTAGAAGCAGGAAGCAGTATTAAATTAGGTAAAGAACAATTTCTTTGTTCATACAAATATACCTGTATTAGTATCTATATTTTAATTAATTGATGTTTGCTATTTACTCGTATATTGTGCTAATTATATTTATTANTGATATTGAAAGTCATAGACCCTATAATAAAAGAGGAACTAAGCTTTCAATATTACTTAATTAAAATAAATGTAAAAACAAGAAGACCTTAAATGGTAGGGGTGCAAAATGCTCACCGGTTACTTCTGTTCTTATTGGCCTCACGTGGGGCTCCTTCCACGTCGCTTGATAGATTTTGAGACTCTTTGCCCCTATAATAAAGGAGAAACTAAAATTTCAATATTGTTTAATTAAAAGAAAGAAGATTTTAACAATAATGGCTGCAAAATGCTCACCGGCTACTTCTGTCCATATTGTCCTTGCGTGGGGCTCCTCCTACGCTCATAATATGATTTTAACAAGCTTAGGCCCTATAGTGAAAGAGAAATTAACTTTCAAAATTGTTATACATTTTACGTAGTTTGGATATGCAATTGCCTATGCTGCAGTGTACGATGTGTTGCCTACCATTTTATAATTTCTAACACTAGGAAAATGATTAAACAAATTGTTCACAAAAGTGAATTTCGACCACTGGAAGCAATGGCGCTAACAGTTTCGAGCTTACCGTGACTGATAAGCGGGAAGAACTAGTTCAAATAAAAGTAAAAGCAGGATTTTAAGAATGATGGTTGCAAAATGCACACCAGTTGCTTCAGTCCATTTTGTCCTTGCGTGGAGCTCCCTCAATCTCCCTCATGTTATTTTATAATATAACATTTTTCAACTGTATCCCTGATGTAAAATTGGTAGAAGTTGAACTTGTGCAGGAACTTTGCAAAATATAGCCGACAATACTCCGAAAAACAGTTGTAATTGCTTTAAACTTTTCACTTGATTAACATTTATCTATAATACTAGGTAGCGATTGCGTAAATGAGGAATAAACGCTAAACTCCACACAATTTTCTTTTAAATTACACTGCAAAACGTAAACATCAACTATTATATAAACTAAAAAAACTAAACGTCAAATAAGTTGTGTTGAATAATGCTAAAACTTTATCATTTACATTGTTTATATTTTTCCTTAAATTTTTGGATAGTTTACAGCAAAATCATAAACCATGTCTAATAAAATACCACTCTGATATATATTTTGTCTTTATTGCTTGAATTAAGGTCAATATTTATGTTTGAATCATTTTAAAATAGATTCACATTCTTGAGATCATCAAAACGAACGCACCCTAAAAAATAATAATAATAACACTAAATTTTAAACGTAAACCGCGGGAAACTATAAATTAAGTGTTTTTATAAGACATGCAGAGTGTTTAGTGCCTATAATTTGCGAATTATAAGTACATTAATTAACTGCTCTTCAAAATTACTACGAAATGTGTTAAAGTAATAAGGTTATTTATTGAATATTTTATTTAATAAATTTTAGTGCGCCTAAGTCCATCGAAATGTGTATTTATTGTAAAAAATAATAAAATTAAACGACTTGTACATTACGTTTTATTTATTATTTAATTTATTAACTGTGTAATTACATTTGGTACTATTTATTTCACTTACACGTAAATTGTCCATATTGTCCTCACGTAGGGCTCTTTCTACATCCCTCATGAGATGATGACAGTCTTAGACCCTATAGTAAGGGAGAAACTAAGCTATCAATATTGCTCAATTAAAATAAAAGTAAAAACAAGAAGATTTTAAAAATAACGGGTGCAAAATGCTCACCGATTATTTCTGCCCATATTGTC